AGTTCTGGATTACAGGTGGAGCTGTAACTCCTGCAGACATGGCCACATTGCACTGCATGGATTTATCTTATTTGTACTCCAGGAACACTGGGCCTCTTTCCATGAGAAACAAACATGCCTTTCCCTGCTGACGTCATAAGGGAACTCACTGTAGTTTTAATTCCCATTGTCATTCTGTAGATAGGTTCAGAATCTTTCATTGTGTTTAAGAAACACGTCTTACTTTGTGAATATTCCTAAATGTCTTCAAGTTCTTTTCATATTATGGAAACAGCTGATTATTAGCAGAAAGGGTTCATTTCCAGTTTAACGGAGGCCTTTTGGCCTAGCCTAGGGTAATTTGCTAGGCAAAATCACAGGGTGTGTTTCCTTCCTTTGCGTTCAGTGGGGCACTAGAGCTGGAAGTTTATGGTGGGATTTTCCCTGGCCACCTCTCTCCTGTTCTTCCTCCTTCCATTCAGCCTTCCTCCTCCAGTAAACCCTCCTACTTCTGATAGACCTGATAAGTTCTCAGGGCCACCTTTACCATCCCATGTCCACCACCACACAGGTCATCATTGCTGGTGAGGACCTGCTTTGGGGTATCCTGTCTCTAAGCCTATGAACTCCTCAGACACTGCTAAATTAGACAAATCTTAGTGAACTATAGCCAAAAGACTAAATAGATTAATGGCAAGCCAGGGATGTGTGGCACAACCAGTCAGGACAAAAGGAAAGGGGGCCAAGCAATTCAGATGGCCACATGCCAGCTATTGGGGGGCTGTGTGCTATTCCTTGCCTGTCCTCTTGTACAGTGTCCTCACAGTATGAGTCCATCAGGACATGGAAGAGAAAATTTAGTCCCATGTGATAAGGAGAAAGAAGACAGAGAGCCCATGGGGGCCTGGGCTTAGCCTCCTGTCTGCCTCCCCAGGATCTGAAGCCATGGGCAATGGCTTATCTCTGCACATCCAAGATGGAGAGTCCCTGTGCATGATCTGTGTTCCTATGCCTGATATGTGTCAGAGACTGCAACCCACCTGTCTTGCTGAGTTGGACCCAGGGGAACCTGAACTGAGGCTCTCACCGCCCTCCAACCACAGAGTTCTGGTGTACGTTGGTGGAGTTGGAGAACCATGGAAAATACGTCTTCTATGCTTAGCAATGGCTGGGTACTTAGAGAGCCTCTGTGAGCCTCATTGTGAGGGGTAAGTTGAAGGATACCTTAGGGCAGAACACCAGATTAGGGAGAGCCCCTCTCATCCCTCTACCTCTCTACACAGCACTGCTACACATGCTGGGCCCCTCTGCTTCTTGGGGAAGGCTGATGGTCTGTGCTACAGCTGCTCTTCCTGCAACTAGCCAGCTGCTTCCCCAGCTGGAGGTTTCAGGAGGTGATGTGGGTAGGGGACCAGCAGCAATGCCTCACTCAGAGTCACCTCCAGCTCACCCTGGTCCTGTGTCAACAGCTTTCTGTCTAGTGGGCTAAGTTCTGTGGCCTGGAATATGTAGGGTGTGCCAGGCCCCACTGTCCTGCTGCTGCCTGGTGAATGGGGAACTCAAGTCTGGATCTCAGATACAATGGACTGAGAAGAGCATTCTGTCCTCAGAAGCTCAGTGCCCTTCTCAGAAGTGACAGTGTCCTCACAGGCTGTGCTGAGCCTTGGTTTGTCCACCTGAGGATCTGGAAGGTCAGTGATGTCAGTAGGTGGATGGTCCTCATTCTCCATGACTGTGGTACCCACTGCCCAGATGGACCAGGAATCTGTGGGCACCTCCTGCCAATGGGCAGTCATGGCTCTGACTCCATTCTCCAGCAGAAATATGCAAAACACAGCCTCATGTCTACTTCCTCTACAAACACTGACCCTTTTTGTCCCTGTGTATTTGCCTGTTTGGGACACTGCGTATAGTTGGAATCATATGTGGCCTTTGTGTCTGGCTGCTTTCACCCCACAGATTTTATGGCACATTTAAGTGCTTCATTCTTTTTAAACTTAAAAGACAAAAACCCAGTGCATGGACAGACCACATTTTGCTCATCCACTCATCAGGTGATGGATGCTAGGTTGTCTTCACTTTGTGCTGTTATGAGCTCCATTCTAGGAACATAGGTGCACAGGATTTCATTTGGGGATAAGTTTTCGTGTCTCCTGGGCACACACCTAGAAGTGGAATTGCCAAGGCTATTGTCACTGTGAGCTTTCCTTTTTGAGGAAATTCTTAGTACTTTCCATGGTGTCAACCTCACCTTGAGTTCCCACCAGCAGTGCACAGAGTTCCAAACTCTCCATGTTCCTGACAACATTACCTTTCTCCTCTATGAGCACACAGCCTGCTGCTGGATGAGTGGAACCGCATTGCCGTTCTGATTTGCATGAAGGATGGTGAGACTACCCTTCTGTATGTACTGGTCATTTGTATATTTTCCATAAGAAGTTTTTCCCAACTCCTGTGACCAGATTTTAATTGAGTTGTTTGGGTTCTTTGTAATTTGAGCTGTAAGGTTCTTTAGGTGAGCCTGATAGCAGACCCTCTTCACATCTGTGATTTATAACAGTTTTTCTCCAGTTAGGTGGGTTGACATTCCACTTTCTTCATAGTGTTATTGATGAAGAAATTATTTAATTTTTATTTTTAAAAAGGTAGTTATGTCTTCTCTGTCCAACTGCAGGACACTTTGGGCTTGGAGGGTGAGAGGCTGGGCTTATGTGTCCCACATCCAGGGATGAGGAAGGTCCACAGGAACATATCCAAGTCCTACTGTGAGAGGAAATACTGGGCTGTGGTTCAGCAGGTGAATCCAGCTTCATCCACTTCTCTGCAGGGAAATCAGGACCTCTGGCAGAAGTGGTTCTGGTGGCCATCAGGGAGGCAGGTGTCAAGATCCTGCTTCTCAGTTTCTGCCTCACCTTCTGCAGATGTGCCCAGGAGCCATGAGGAGGGTGGGGGCCAGTGTTGAATCCCAGAGTCCCAGTCTTTGATGGGATCAGGAAGAAGGTTGTTGGTGGTGAAAACTCCAAATGACCCAATTATCTGTCCCCAGTTCTGGCCAAAGTGGAAGGATATGTTTCTCATCAAAAAGGTCCTGGGGGCTGGGCCTCCTCTCTTTCTTTCAATCACCCCACCAGCCCCTTTGTAAGGCAAAGCGAAGGCAAGCACTTCAACTGACCCTGAGGCCAACACTCCTGGTCTCTTCACTCAGAATGAGGTCCTTGGGAAGAAGGCAGTGAGGCCAGCAACAGATGTGTAGAATACAAACACCATCACGGTTAGTCACTAAGGTGAGGTACAAGAGGTCATCACATCCCACAGTCCCTTGGACACATCGCCATCTTGGCCCCATCACCATGACCTTTCTCAGCCCACACTCCCTGCTGGGATCCCATGGTGCTCATGGCTCAGTGGCCCCATCTGTAACCAGAACCACGTGTGCTTCTCTACTGTGACCTTTCTCCATTCCCCAGTGCCATAAATCACTCACAGGTCCACCTTCACTCATAACCCTGGCCCATCCTCATCTCACTCTCCATCCTGGTGAATCCTGGTCCTCATCTTTCCCTGGACATTGAACCCACCTCATCTCCTGCTTCTACATCTACCCAACACTGGTCTCAGGAATGTGCTTCTCGACACCATCACTGATCACTATCACCTAGTCTGAACAGTCTGGCAACTTTGCCGTGGACAGAGACAGAGCCATCACCGCAGCCTGCGCTGGACTGGAGTGGTTTCTGAAACAACAAAGAAAATGGTGTGTTAGTCAGCTTCCATCATGTGACAGAGTAACTGAGGTGAACAACTTACATGGTGGGAAAGGTAATTTGGGCTCATGGATCCAGAGGTTTCAGTCCATGGCCATTTGGCTCTGTCACATTGGGCCTGAAGTGGCACAGTACATCATGGTGGGAGTGCATGATGGAGGAAGTCTGCTGATCTTGTGGCAGAAGACAGGGAGAAGAGGATGGTTGTCAGGGTCTCAATATTCCCATTAAGGACACGTCCTCAATGACTTAATTTCCTTCCACTAGTCCCACCTCATAAAAGTTCCTCTATCTTACAACAGGTCCACGGTCTGCAAAATGAGCCTTCAATATCTGGGCCTTTGTGGGACACTCCTGGTCCAAATAGAGCAAAGAAAGGGGCACTGGGTCCTTGTGGAAGAGGTGATAGTGGTGTGGACCAGGGAGGTGGTCCAGGACGAGGACATGTGTTTGACACCTGTGAAGGTCAGAAACACCGGTATCTGATGAATGAGCTCAGTGAGGGAAAGGAAAGGGCAAGGATGACCCCAGATGCTTCCCTTAGCCACAGGGAGGATGGAGTCGAGTCCTGCTACTTGGACGAGGTTTGAAGGAAAGGCATTAATTCTGAGAAGAGTCTTTCCATCCACATGGGGACATCAGGCACAGCTGGACACAGGTGTGTGTGTGAGGGCAGAGGGTCCAGTTGCAGTATGACAATACATACAGGTGTAACAGGATGACCACAGGGGACAAAAGAAAGAGACAATTACAGATGGAGGGGAGGAAGGACACATGTCATTTCTGACCTTTTAAATAGCAGCTTTGCTTTGTTCATCAATTCTAATATTTATTTGGATTGCATTTGGATATTTTCAATAAATATTTCCAGCTTATTGTGGATAGTCACCTATGTACTTTATAACTATTATCTCACCATTATTTTATTGATGAAGAGAACCTGTATGCTACTGTACACAGCCTAAAGTTCTGCCATATGTTTACACTACAGAACACTAAGACAGGCTAACTCGCACATGAATTACCTCACACACTTATCAACACCTCTGAACTTCTACCTAACACGCCTTACGCCCATCAAAAGATTTCTCAGTATGCAGTAACATTTGTTTTCTGTTGCTTTGTGATGAAAACATTTGAAATTTCCTGTGTTGGCAATGTTGAAATATACAATATATTACCATGAGTTATGGTCACCACACTGGGAATTACATCTCCAGAACTTCCTCTTCTGTCTAAATATAAGTTTGGACACTGACCAACCTTTCACTCCTTGTCAGTCCTTACTCCAGCTATCTCCCTTCTACTATTCCTCTTAGGAGTTTTAAATTTTCAGATTTCATATAAAATGTCATACTGTGATATCATCCATCTTTTCCTGCCTTAATTCACAAAGCATGATATTTTCCAAAATTGCCTAAGCTGTAGCAAATGGCAAAAGTTCCTTTTCTTCTAAGGTGCACAATATTCATTATTAAGTGGGTGATTGTGTGTGCATTTGTATGTGTGCATTTAAAAACAGGTCAAGGTCATATATTTATATTTCGACAAAGATATAAAGGTTAATAAGCACAGAAGCTGATACTCAATGTCACTCATCATTACAGAAATGCAAACCAGACCCATGATGTCAACACATCCTGTTGTGCGTCTGAAATGTATGCAATAAAACAATGATTTAGTTGTATGAGGAAATAAGCCAGTCTCACAACAGTGTGTTTTCTCTCATGAAAGGAAACTAGGGGGCAGAAGGACATGAACGTAGAAAGGGGACTATTAGAGGGGTCAGGAGGAGAGGGTGGGGTTTAAGAGAAGGCAATAGAAGAGGCGAAGATGATCAAGTTACATTATATGCACATTTGAAAATAGCACAGTAACCCCATTATTTGGTGTGGCTGATATGCACTAGTGATAATCTTAAAACCCATAACAAGGTACCACTTCACACCCATATAAGGGTTACTGTCTTTGAAAATGGGAAATGGAAGACAATGTAGAGGACTCTTGCCCATTGCTGCTGAAAATGTAAAATGGTGGCTCCTGAAAGAAACAAAAATAGGACAAGCATATGATCCAGCAACTCCACTTTAAGCATATACCCCAAAGGACTGACTTGAGTCATGTCCCAAGCCCTGAAAACAGGTTCTTGAGCCAGGAGCCTTTTATGCCTGCATAGTCATAGCAACTGCATTCACAAGAGATAACACGGATGCAACCCGAGTGTCCATCAACAGACACCATGGGCATCTGTTACACACAAGGGGAACGTCGCTCAGCACATGCTATGCTCCCGGTGACCTGAAGACGTTACTGTAAGTGAAACAAGCCAGTCACACCAGGACAGATGTGCACACTTCATTTACATGAGGAAGCTGGAGTGGCAAACTCACAGAAAAGGACAATAGAAAGAGTGAGTTCAGGGGCAGAGGAAAATACGAAGACAGTTTGTAATGGGTGCAGAGTTCCACTCAATGGAGATGAAAGAAGTTGAAGGGCTGGGGGTGTGGCTCAAGGGGTAGAGCGCCTGCCTAACTGAGTTGAAGGCCCAGTAATGCCAAGAAAGAAAAAAAATAGTGGTAATGGCTGCAGAGCAGTGTGAATGTACCTCCTGTCACTCACCTGCACAGGAGCAATGGTTAAAAAGGTAAATCGTGTGTACAGTTTACCAAGACCTCAGCAAAGTGAAGCCCAACATTTGACTATCTAATCCACAGAGAAGAAAACTCTGAGTAATAATCACACGGAAACATTTCTAACTCATTTGCTGATATGAAATGACAGATTAAAATCCGATGAGACACCAGTATCTACCAATGAGAATGCTGAAAAATAGAAGTCAGTCTTCAAAAATCCACGCCAAATGCTAATGAGGCTGTGGAAAATCACGTGAGCCGATGAGAACTATAATTTTACCTGTAGGTGCACTCAAGCTGTGCGAAAGCATGATAGCTTTTGAGACACGTTTTGCTGTGAGATGTGGATCTGCTGTGTGACAAGAAGTCTCCTAATCTGTGTGGAGAGGACAAAAGAATTCCTTCTGTCCACTCCACACCAATGACAGAATTAATGGGACAGTGGCTTTTTCTGAAGTCGTTAAGAACACAAGTTCTCCTTTTGTAACACAGGAGGACTCTGCCTGGTTCTTCTGGAGATGTCCCTGACCCTTCAGGATTCCGTGCACAACATGCCAGAGAAAAATTCTACCCTCCTTTTTGACAACACTGGGGTTTGAACTCAGGGCCTCATGCTTCTTGACCACTCTGCCAGCCCTTTTTTGTGTTGGGTATCTTTGAGATAGGGCTTCCCTAATTACCCTACCCTGGGGTGGGTCTCAAATCACGATCCTCCTGGTCTCTCCTTCCCAAGCAGCTAGGATTTCAGGTGTGAGCCACCAGTACCCAGTTTCCATTCTCATGTTGTACAAATATTCTACCAGAGCCTGCAGCTTTGAATCTCACCACATGTGTATATGGTAAGAGGATTTAAGACTCCTGCATGGAACAGCTCAGGGTGGGAACCAGGACAGAGGTGTCTCTTCTTACTCCAGCCCCATCAATGCACAGAGCTCACTGTGTGCTTGCTGAATGAATGGATGAATGAATGAGTGAGTGAATGCTGGCTTCCACTCAGACACATGCATTCTGTTGTATCCTATATTCTGTAGGACTGACCTCCCACAGGGTAAAGTTGACACTGCAACACTCTGGAACCAGGTTGGAGATGACACTCTTCTTATGTAAACTACGGTGCACATAAAAGGTTCTCAGAATTCAGGGTTGGTGAATCATGCCTGTAATCCCAACACTTGGGAGGCTGAGGTAGGAGGATCCTGAGTTCCAGAGAAACCTGGACCCATGACCAAACCCTGTCTCAGTCAAACTAGTGCTGGGGATGTGGCTCAGTTAACAAGTGGTTGCCTAACTTGATTAAGGTCTTTTTGTGGTTCTATCACCAGCACCCCCAAAAAAAATCCCCTCAGAATGGGAAGTCCTCAGACTCTCACCAGTGTCCAGGTTCTGGCTGGGATGCTGCAGGGAGCCCCTGAGATGGGGCCAGGACGCAGTCTCTGCATCTTACTTGCTCCTCCCTGGCAGTGTCTGTGTTCTCTTCACTCTTTGGTCTTGGAGCTTCCATCCACTCTACAGAGAGGACAACTCCCACTGTCTGTGGGCGTGAGGTTCCTCTTCTGTGAACCTCCCAGGTCTCAGGCTCCTCCCCAGCTTCCTTGGGTCCCACGGTGCTTCTCTGCCTGTGCCCACTCTTCTCTGCTTACATCAGGAGCCCAGGACCCTCTGCCTCCAGCCACGATGCTGCTGCCCCTGCTGCTGGCTCTGCTGTGGGCAGGTGATTTGTCACCAGAAGCCGATACTGCTTTTACCAAACCGTGTGAGGATAAGGGTTGGAAATGCACAGTGCAAGTGAACAAGTCCATCACAGTGCAGGAGGAGCTATGTGTCCTCTTGCCCTGCAGAATCCTCTATTCCTATGACGATTCTTACTTGTTTACTCATTCCTACGGTTACTGGTTCCGGGCAAGGACTGACACACGTCACAACCTTCCAGTGGCCACAAACAACCCAGAAAGACAAGTACAGGAGGCCCAGGGCCGGTTCCACCTCCTCAGAGACGTCAAAGATGACTGTTCCCTGAACATCAGAGATGCACAGAGGGGTGACAGTGGCTCATTCTTCTTCTGGTTGGAAGCACGGACATACAAATTGAGGTGCTGTAGTAACCAGGTTTCTCTGCATGTGACAGGTAAGTTTCAGGCTCCAAATTGGCCAAGGAGAAGGTGGTTGAGCCTGCAAGACAGGAATGGGATGGGACACTGTGGTGAAAGGAGCTGGGGAGGAGCATGAGGGGCTCCAGGGAGGAGCCAGATGAGAGCCTGGGCTTCTCTGAGGGGTGCACACCTGATCCTTTGTCCCCCTCTCCTCGCTAGCCCTGAATCACACCCCCCATATCTTCATCTTGGAGACCCTGGAGCCTGGCCAAGTTAGCTATGCCACCTGCTCTGTGACTTGGGCTTGCGAACAGGGAATGCCCCCCCATCTTCTCCTGGATATCAGCTGCCCTCACCTCCCTGGGCCCCAGGACCACCCTCTCCTCAGTGTTCACCCTCACTCCTCAGCCCCAGGACCATGGCATCAACCTCACCTGCCAGGTGACCTTCCCTGGAGCTGGGGTGACTGTGGAGAGAACTGTTCAGCTCAACCTTTCGAGTGAGTGTCCTCATTTCCTGAGGGTGTGAGGATACAGGAAGGCCAGCCCTTGAGATGTGTGGTTGCTGTGTCCTGGAGGCCTGTCTTAGTAGGGTACCTGGAAGGACAAGGTCCTGTCTCTCCTAGTATTTTGGTTCCAGGGCTGGTGCGGGGAGAGCTGCCCTATCTCACCTTCATGCAAGGGAAGAGAAAAAACGCCCTCTCCTGCTGTACCACAATGCCTCAAATACCCCACATCACTGTCCTGAGGTGCTGGCCAGGCAGGGAGCAGCCTCCCTCCTTGTTGCAGTTCCTGGGAATGGTCTCTGCAGGTCTGGTCAGACCTGAGTGTTCAGATTCCAGTGTAGAGAGGCCACCATTATTCCCAGCAGCCCACAGCCTCCTCCCCATGCCCTCTGCTAAAAGAGATGTCAGGTGAGGATCTTTGGGGCTCAGCAGCTTCACCCTGCCCTCCTTAAAGGGGTTGGTTTTTCCTTCCAGTCACAGAACATAGTGCAGACATTTCAAAACAACTGTTGGTGATTAGGGCAGTTTAAGGTTCACAGCAAAACTGAGTGGCAAACAGTGGATCCCCTGTGCCTGTGGCCCCCATACCTGAACAGCCCCGTGCTGTCCATGCCTTGTACCAAAGCTGGCCATGATTACAATCCACGCCCCTTCATACACATCACCGTCACCTGGAGTTCCAGGTCCCATCAGGTTCATCCTGTGTTGTATACTACAGAGATTTCACAAAAAATGTGTGACCTGCACTTCCACAATATTGCACACTGAGTAGGGGCACTGCCCTAAAAATCTTCTTGGGACTTTTTATATATATTTTACTGTTAATTCCATCAGCTCTTAGCTCTGACCTCTATCCCAAACCAGTAGTCCCCACACTGCTCTGTCCCACTATAATTGACATCTGTCTCCTCACTGGACAGTGAGCTCTCAGTCGAGAATGGTCCTCTCTGCCACATGGACAAGCAACCCTGACCCTGGTGATTGTATCCCTCAGGGCTCGGTCATGCAGAACTGGGAGGGTTGTCTGGATCTGCTGTGGAGGTTGGATGGTCACATCCCTACCACCTTATTCCAGTCCCTATTGCAGGCACAAGTGATCAACCTTACACTGAGTGACAAGGCCAGTGGACACCAGGAGAAGAGACTCAGAAGGGAGAGACACATCTGTCAGTGTCCAACAGGGCTCTTTGTCATTATCACTGTCCCTATTGGCTTGCCCTGGGACCCAGAGTTCACAGTTCTTCTGTGACCAGGTCAGGGGTCTGCTGAGAGACCCTGGGGAGAGAATAACCTGGATCCTAGAATAGATGGAGTTTCCTGGACAGGTTGTAGGGGTAGATGACAGGGGTAGATGAGTTGTCTCTATGATCCTGAGGTTCTGGACAAGGCTGAAGTGCTATCTTGGGTGGGAGGAGTTAAGGGCTGAAGCCCATCTCAGAGGTGAAGGTCCCTAGATACTTGACAGAAGAGAACACAGGCATGTTATCAAGATTGGAGTTCATCTCCCCCCATCTCCTTTATCCGCAGGGAATCAAGGAACCAGGATGCCAGCAGGAGTGGTGCAGGGAGCCATTGGAGGAGCTGGAGTCACCGCCCTGCTTGCTGTCTGTGTTTGCCTCATCTTCTTTATGTGACCTCAGCTCTGGGTCAGGGAGGGCAGGGATGGGAAGTAGGGTATGGAGTTGGAGGCACCTGAAGGGTGTGAGGATTTATGGTAGGGATGGGGAGGTAATGGTGTTGAGAAACCAAGCTGTGGTCACTGGACAAGACCAGGTCTGATCCCAGATCCTGGCCCCAGATGCCCAGGAAGTGGAGCGAGAAGGGTCCTTGTGGAAAATATTCTTATGGAGCCTCCTGGTACAGTGCTACCCATCCCTGCCTCAGTCACTTGTGGGCAACTCTCTTGCAGTCCCTAGGAACTGTCTCCTCCTATGAGAGGCTGCTCTCTCCAGATCTGGACGTCAGGACCTCACACACACAGTCAGCACATCCCTGAACCCTCTTCTGTTGCTGGGTCCACATCTTGCTGGTGACACTCTTGTTCCCATAATCCAACCAGAGACCTGGTCCACTGCACCCGGTCCTCCAGCCCTTCTTCCTCTGCAGTGTGCCCCAAAAGCACACTGTCTGTGCTTCTGAGCACAGCTTGACACAGGGCAATAAGGGCTGTAGGTGGTGGAGAACTGAATGAGTGGTGTCCTAGGAAACACAGATGGAGAACAAAACAGGGGATAAATGTCCCTCAGAATGAAATTCACCTCATCACCCCCTCTACCTTCACTGTCTCCTTCCCCACTTCCTGCTGTGACCCCATTTCGCTCTACACAGCGTCCCCAGCAGGAGCTCAAGTCACTCAGCCCCACTGAGCCCTCACACTCTCCAGGGACAGCCCTGGCCTTGGGGACGGAGCAGGAGCTCACTAAGCCTCTCTCAGCTCTCATGGGAAGAACCCCCATGAGGACGCCTGCACCCAGTACTCAGAGCTCTGGATCCAGTGAGGAGCCACAGCCTCAGCCAGACGCGCGTCCCCTATGGGCCCCAAAGTTAATTCTCAGACACTCAGCGTCTGCAAGGAACTGGGTTATGAACTACTGAGAGTGAGTTTCCTGCTGTGCTAAGATTTCCTCAGACTTTGCAAGCAGAGACCTGGGAGCAACTCTGTGGTGTCATTTATAAGAGTGTGACAGTTACTTTCTCCTTCATGTCTGGGGTTCCTGCTTTGTGAAATGGGGGTAAAAGTCCTACTTCCAGATGCTGTGAGGAGAGGATTAGGTACAGGTGCACATGGAGACACCCAGCAGCAGTCCTGGAGTGAGGGGACAGTTTGGGTCACACTGTGCCCTCCTCTTTGGACATCTGCTCCTGGGCTCAGTGTGTCAGTCCAGAAACTGTCAGCAGCCTGTTCGCCTCACTCCCTGCTCAAAACCCTGCAGTGGATCCCTCCTATGACTAGACCTTCCCTTCTGCATCCTCTCTCTTCCACTCCTGAATCCTCCCTTCTCTCTGTGCCGCCTCACTCCTTCTCCAATTTTCACTTTTCTTTATGCCCTGCTACAGGCAACATCCCACGTTAGCATGCAGTGAAGCTTCTTAGAGTTCACTTTCCAACTCCCCAATTCAAAAGAGTAATGTATACACTTTTCAACACGACATTCAAGGTCAAGGATCAGCAAACCATTTTGTAGAGGCCCCGATTGGAAATATTTAAGACTTTGTAATCAAACATTATTTGCTGTGACCGCTCCACTCTCCCATTGCCACACAAAAGCAGCTGTGGACATCCTGCACTTAGGTGAGTGAAGCTGGTTCCAGTAGAACTCACTGACAAGCCCGGGAGGCTCAGCTGTGTTCTAGGTCACCCACCTCTGTCCCCCAAACTGAATCCTAACCCAAGGATCACTGAGCCAGTCTCTGCATGTCCCCTCCTGTGCATTCCTCCTCCCTGCTGTGTGCATCCACACACCTCCTGCAGGTGGACAGATAACCATGTCATCCTGGGGTGAGAACTTCTTCTCCTTCAAGAAGTGCTCCAATATAGATTTCCAGTTAGAGATGGTAGACAGTAGTGGGTGTTCAGACTCTGTCACTTAAAAAGTCAATTAAATAATAAGTATTAGTTTAAGCAGAAACAATCTCCAAATTCTTCTGTAGCAACCAGTCTGAGGGAGGGGAAGGGAACTGTGCATAAGTTCATAGTAAACACTGAGAAAACAAATGGAAGACTGTAGTACTGTGTCAAAAGCATCTGATGTCTACACTCAACTTCTGTGTCCTTATAAGGACCTGTCAGCGTTCTCTTCATGGTAATGGCAGGCTGGTTATGTGGATTCACCTGCCACCTTAATCATTAAATGTCAACTATCCTGATGGTGGTGTCCCACTTTCTCCCACTTCTCCTCATAAGCACCGCAATAAACCTGATAACTGGTAAGAGAGATAGCCAAAAAGAATACAAAAAAAATGGTGACAAGAAAGCCAGTGTGTTTGGACCACAGAACAGGAGGAACAATACAGAGGCTGAGCATCTTGCACCTCCTCCTTCCCTACCCTCCCATCCACTAGAGAAAGGACCCCTGGCACCACCATCTTCCAGCCCAGACCAGCAACAGAAGGCAGCCAGGGCAGTTCATTGGACTCATTCCTCCCCAGATTGAAGACAAGCCTTCCAACAACACCTGGCAGGTCCCACATGTCAAGAAAGGGGATCAACTGTGACCAGAATTAAGTGGTTATAAAGTGCTTTCTTTCCCCATCAGGCCTGACATTGGCCTCTCCTGCCCAGAGACACAGAGCTGATGGGCAGAACTGGAGGAAGGACCCAGCCACAATGCCTGATGTTCCTCAGTTTTCTCCTTTCTCCACCAAGTGGATGGTGGGAAGCCAGACCCTAACAGGAGCAGTGCAGAGACCTGGAAGCAGAGGCCTTGGCAAGCTCTGTCCTTTCCCTGTCACTCTTCCAAGTGAGCAGAGGCTGTGCACAAGAGGGACAGTGCCTGAGAGGGATGAGAAGAGAAGCCAGAGGGAAATGCTTAGCACAGCCCACTCCCCGCTGTCTGATGCTCCTCTGACCCCAGCCATCCCTCTTAAGTTCACCTGGCCCAACCCATCCCTGCCCTTCTGTGCCAGCACTAGGATCCTGATACTCCGGGTCAGCTTCTTCTGCAGGGTTGAGAGGCACTGAGCCAAAAACTTGATCCTGTTTCAGCACCATGGTCAGTATCAGTCCTGCCTGGATCTGCCAGGAACCCAACTGGCTCTTGATGGCTGGAGCCTTCCTGGGCACAGGCTTGGACAGAACCCAATGCTGAGGTGCAAGGAACCTCCAGAAGGGTAGCGTCTGGTGACATTCCTGGTCAATGGACCTAGTCACAGCTGTACAGGATCCTCTAGATGTGTATCAATCCTCAGACTTGCATCCTTGTGCCATGGGTATTAACTAGGGGGTCATGCTTTTTGAGACAAGGAGGGTGAGACATGGTGTCCCCAGTAAATAGATGGGAATCACCCATGGGTCACAAAGTGTAAGAATCTAAGAGTGGCATTTTGTAGCTGCTGCAAGACCTCTGATGAAGCAAGATTTCCGTTAAGTTTGCACCTCTCCTCCCACCCAACGTGCACAGCCACAGGGCTTCTGCTTTTCTTTCCCAATCTCAGCTTATTTTCACTCTTTAGTTTATGGCCATTTTTTTCTCTTTCTGTGTTTTCTCACATTTTTGTCTGCAACTTTCCACTCTCTTACTTAGTGATATCCACCACAACTCTCCCACCCCAAATTTTGTACATACACTTCCTGCAGTTCCTTTGTAGCCCAGGCTGTCCTGAGCCCCAGAGTCCTGAAAGGTCAGGAAGTTTGGATGCTGTTCATAGAGGGGGCTGAGACCTGGAAACTGGAGCTCCCTGCCCTACATGTGCCTCTTTTTGTCCTTGCTCTTTTCATGGTGCCCACATAGGGGGGCAGCTTCTTCCTCTCCTATGTCCTCCCCAGGATCTGCTACACCAAGTGCCCTGAGGTAGGGAGAGTGTGTTCTAGTGGCTAGAAAATACCACAATCCAAGGAGCTAACGTGTGCACAGGCACATGTATGTTTCTTCACATATTATATCAAAGGATAATTTTCCAAAATCAAACAAACACAAAAAGGTTAACATTATGATCTCATCAGTGGAGTCACCAAGTGATTGTAGTTCCTTTTGTAAAGT